AATTCAGTGAAGAATAAGCATACTTTCTTCATATTCTTTCTCTTCCCTTAATCTGTCAACAGAAGATCCACTGTGACAAAGGTGAGGATGGTGACGTTCTAGCATGAAAGATGTTTGAATCCCTGAATAACTACTTGGAAGACAGTAAACTCATTGACCTGCATTGGGTAGTCATGTCAGCAAGATAGAAATTTTTATTGTGTTAAGCCATTGGGATTTTGAATTATTTGTTACAGCTGCTAATGTAACTCGCCCTAATATAGACCTTTTCAATTTTTGTTTTCTTATGTGTTTCCTAATTACACTGATGGAACAGTTTCTAATATTTTGGGGGTTGAGCTATCTAGCACATATCATTGACATTAGAAAAAATAAATGCACATTTTTTTGTCTCTCTATCCTCTCTGATTTCTCTTTTACAAACAACTGTTCTTTGATCTTGGTTATTTGGTATAGTACTTACTGAAATATTATATCACTTAATTTTAGGGAATTCACCATTGTTTCAATTTATTTTTAAATCTCAGTATTTTATTAAGTCAAAATTAATAAATCTATATAATGGATAAATATCTGCAAGTCAAAATCAAAATTAGTCAATGGCTTTTTGTTTAATCAAAATAGCATATAATAATCATAACATTTGATATTGACTTGCTAAGATATGTATGTATTGACAAAAACATGTAAATGCTTCCTTTTCTTTTAATCTATCCTAACGTATGGTTACTCTTCATAAATAACTCTAAATGGTAATGCTTCTTTGTATTCAGTGCAATGTTTAAGTGAAAAATTTAATGCAAAAGAAACAAAAGCTGATGATTTAAAGTTTCCGTTTAATCATACCCTCCCTAATCTGTGTCTCTTCTGGGACCTCAGCATGTTTTTCTTTGTTCACATGTTTATTTTCTCATTTCCTTTCCTTGTTGTCAGAACATGGCAATGTTTCATTTTTACTTGCCAGAAAGATTTTTTACTTCAGTTTTACCCCCAGTTTATTCAGGACTGTTCACCATCATCCCCTTAGACTCCAGAAACTTAATAGGTTTCCAATATCTTAGTTCTCACAAAATGTATCATCTAGTTCTAATTGAATATCTCCAAATAATATTGGTAGGGAACTTTGGCAAAGGCCGTAGAAACATTATTTAATAGCAAAGTCAGTTCATGTTCCCTTTCCCCTTACTGCCCTTGTTCCCCAAGTAAGGATGCCAGGACAATTTCGTGTAGGCTGAAATCAGTAATCTCATGAGGATGGGGGTAGGGAGAGACAGTCAATCACAGTAATTGAAAACAAAGAAGTTGGACTGAAAACCAAGATATTTAGAACCTTTCAAATGCTAGGTCTTTATTTTATGATGAAGTAATTTAGTATTTTTTTTAAGTTTCAATCTTTCCCATCCTAACACAAAGCAAATTGTTCCTTCTAACACAGACTTTATTGAGGCACAAACTATAACAAGCTGTGCCTTTTAATATGTAGAACTTCTCTGCATACAACTGCTATTCATTGATGATGATGTTGATGATGTATTTATCAGACGTAATTATAGACATTTTGAATAAGAAAACGTGCATTTTGGAGGATGTCCCAGGGAGGAGCAGCTAGTAGCCAATTGCCTTCAAAATAGATAGTTATTACATTATTTTTTTTACTCATGTACAGTCTCAGTGGTAAAGCCTTGAAAAATTTTACAAATTTAGAAACCTGACTTTATCTCTCAGGGGAAGAATTACTTTAAACAAATTCCAAAGACTGTACTAAACCAGGATGCTAACCTGAACCCTGTTATTGCCACCAATATGTTCTCTGTAGTCTCTGTAGCTTCACTTGGGGGCCTGATTATAATCAGAAGTTTGTAGGAGCAGAACCTGGGTATATCAGCTCTATAATAGCATAATGTAAAGGAAGGGCTGTCTTTCAAGGGTTCGAAATCCTTAGATTTGCTGACTATCGTTAAGTTTCTGCAGTCTAACATGATAGATATCCTCCTGCCAATAGGAGAAGGCTGCTGAATAACAGTTAATTGGCTTTGGCAATATTTCACTCTGTGATCTTCCTTTTTTTTTTTTTTTTTTTTTTGCGGTACGCGGGCCTCTCACTGTTGTGGCCTCTCTCGTTGTGGAGCACAGGCTCCGGATGCGCAGGCTCAGCGGCCATGGCTCACGGGCCCAGCCACTCCGCGGCATGTGGGATCCTCCCAGACCGGGGCACGAACCTGTGTCCCCTGCATTGGCAGGTGGACTCTCAACCACTGCGCCACCAGGGAAGCCCTGATCTTCCTTTTTAATCTCAGTACAAAAATGTACGGATCCCCTTCAATTTCCATTCTATATATGTTATAGATTCAATATAGTTATTGTGAAGGATTTTTATCTTAAATGTTCTGTATTTGATTTCTTTCATGTTTATGTCTTTGATCAGAGTTTTGATATCATAACTCCAGAGAAAACACACTTAAAAAAGAGTTGATCAATCCTCAATATCTTTTAGATATATTTTATTTGCTTTTCTCCTTATATGAATTAAGAAATGGAGTGTTTAATATATTTGCATATATACCATTTACCTCTTTAAAGCCCGTATTGAATGTTAACAAAGATATTGATATGCTGTCACTGTGATTATCCTTTGGGGCCCGCCAATCTGCATCTTATGTGGAGTACACTGACATCACAAGCCAATAATTGTACAACCTGATGCATGACAACATTGCCAAGTGGTAATTCTTGAATTATTTCAGTGCGTGTGTGTACGGGTACCTTAACAGTGGAAGCCTCTCTGTTCCTAACAAACTCAAGACAAGGTTTACCATAACTTGGCCTAGGAGTGTTAGAATGAGAAATTTGTGGAATTAGGGAGGGTCTAATGAAAATTAGGCATTTAAGAAAAAGGCTATGTAGGGCAATAAGAGGTCAGGTCCCATCTGGGGTTAGAAATTAGTATGGTAGGAGAACATGTCCAGGATAGGATTATCCAACTCAGAAATGTGAAGATTTCCAAAGATTTTTTGAACAATATTGTTTACTTTTGGCAGATTTGTAATTTACTGATTTTTTAATGTCTTTGTGGAAGATGCCACAAGACAAAATCTGGAGGACTATGTCAGTAAAACAAAAATCTGGACCAGAAAGAAAAGAGAAAAAGGCTCTCATTTAGCACAGAGTACTAGAGAAGTAAAGGGACCAAATTGAAAAGCATATTAAACTGGTTAAAAAAATAGTACCTGACACACTAAAAGAATAGCTGAGGGACGTCAAATACCCCACCTGGGTCCTACCCCCAGAGATTCTGATTTTAATAGTCTAGGGTGTGGTCTAGGCATTGAAATGTTTTAAAACTCTAGAGATGATTCAAACATATGGCCGAGGTCAAGAACCACTACACTAGAGGGGAAATTAATTCCGCAGAATAGGACGTGGGAGACAGAAACGCTAATTAAGTCCTGGAACTTTGAAATGTTGAGTAAGGTCTTGATGAGAATATGGTAGAAGGATTGTTTTTTACTAGCCTCCCAAGGACCACAGGCATCAGAAACATCAACAGCAGTTTCAGTTCAGGAATCTGCTGAGGTTGATTCTCCAGCTGAAAAACAAAACAAAACAAAACAAAAACATGGGGAAGAAGTGGAAACTCTCTGGGAGGCGGATTTCTTGAATTCCACAGCCTGAAGCAAGAGTAAAAGCCCCTGCCCTGGGGCACACAGCTTCCAGACTAGAGAAACCCCTGGCTGAAAATCCTTGCTTACAACAGAATCTGTCACTTGACAGAACACATACTCAATGCAACACCAGGTACCAGAATACCAGGGCTTAGCAGGAAAATGGGAATTCAAAGGCAGTATGCAGAAAAAAAGAGAAGCCTAAGATGGACCTGGTAATTGGGCCTGCCGTCAGTCACCTGTGCTAGATAACAGGCTGTATAAAAACTGTGCTAAGAAACAGGAATATCTCCAATAATACTCTGAGAGAAGAGCTTGTGTTTGGGGATGTTGTGCTGCTCATACCGTAGGTGCATCAGAATGACATGGAGAGTTTGTTAAATCATTGATCACTGGGCCCCCCTCTCGAGTTTCTGATTCGTTAGGTTTGGAATGGGGCCTGAGAATTCGCATTCCTGACCAGCTCCCAGGAGATGCTGACGCTTTGAGAACAGCTGCTCTAATAATGGTAAAACAGTGCCATAATTTAACTCCTGGTGGGAGATTTCTCCCAATTGTACTTGAGCTCTAACTATGCAGACTAGAGGCAATGAACATATGCTGACCAACATCTGGATGAGGTCAAACCAAGATTTCTTCCATGTTCCAACTTCTCAGGTACCATCAACTCTCTTCTTGGTCTCTGGACAGTATGTACTGGTTTGGGGAATATACTCTTGCCTAGAATAACTATTTTAGGGACTCAGGATTATCTGGTTTTTAAAAATTTGATGGGGGTTAAGGTCAATAATGTGATAATATTGTATGTGCAATTAATGCTTCATTCTCTTTAAATATCAAAGTCATGGGAGACTTGGTAATAAACAAATAGCAATTTATGTGCCTCTGAAGAACTACATCTGTATCTAGTAGAGGCTACTCAGGTTGTAGTTACTGAAAGAAGCCAGCTTGACCCAAGCAAAAAGAATTCATCTAGCTGGGATGAAGCAAAAGAAATTGAGAAAGGGGAGTTTGGGACTGCATATTCTTTGGACTTTTAAATCACAAGGCAAGTAATTCTGACTTTGTACAGCAATATCTTTGGATTTAAACAAGTTTAGACTTTAATATGTAAGAGACATTAACGTGCAGTTTTTAATTTTTCCTCAAAAACTTTATAGAGGTAGGAGAGCTATATGCTAATCTGTGTCCTCTCTGTTTCTGGAATTGTCTTATTGGAGTGTATTTACTTAGCATTTCATTTCATTGCAGAAACTCTCATAAACTCTGATATTAGATAATGTGGCTTGATATAATTTGAGGTAGAACGTAGAACTGAGAGTGAAATTTCAATCTTAGGTGCAGAGAGGCCTTTGAGATAAATTCACTGATGTTCTTGGATCCACTTCAGAGTTTTCTGGGCTCAAAATCTACAGACTTCCAGAGGACATCTAAGAGTGCCAGCTGGCATGAGGGCAGGACTCATGAAGGTAGGAGTGACTGTCCTAAGAAATGGGCTGCTTTTCTCTCTCGACATGGAAAGCTATACTGAACCTAACGGGCAAGGCTGATGGCTTGAGAGGCCACCGTGTTGGGGAGTGGGTGTATCCTCTGTGGGCCCCTTTACTCACTCCTCCTATGAGAGGAAGAAGGATGAAGGTAGTTGGTGAGTGAGAGAAGGAGCTTGGCCTGAGTGGTTCATCTTCTTCTTTAGGGGAGTCGCCTGCCTGTCAGGAGCATAAGTTCTGGTTTGCCCCTCTGTGCATGCACGAAGGTTTACTGTATTCTGAGGCCTGTGGTTGGCCAGCATTGCCTGTGACTGATGACCTAGTCTATTTCTGAAGTTTTGTATTAAGAAGCCCATAGTTGCTTCACACCTAAGTCATGTATTACAACCTAGCCTTTATCAGTAATAAAGGGGATATTTTGAATGTTATTTGTCTGAGTCCCATTTCTGTCCCTCAGTTGATTCTAAAGTTAGGTAGGGCATAGCAGAAGCACATATGAGGTTCCTTAAAACCTAACACTATTGCCCAGAAAACTTCAATATTATGAGTCTCTATATGTATCATAATACAAAATGGTATGCATTTTCAAATATGTACTTGGCCCCTGGCTTCATATTATTTTCTCAACTATTATTTTTTCTTTGCCTCACTCTCCTAATTTATATTTTTATACTATAATGTAATATAACACATAATTAATAATATACAATATGAGATGTGATATGGAGAATATAATATACTCTATATTATTTATATATTATAAACCATTTTATGAGATAATATTGTATGTAGCTTATATTTAATCTTTTATCTATATTTATATTTATTGTATATATTTATATATCTATTTCTGTATTATAGCTTTTATTCATGTAAGTAGACTTACATACTGTTCAAAAAAGGTGGTAGATAAACATATAAGTAAAATAATGGCAGGTTTGGAGACATAATTTCTCAGCATATGTATATATTTTGTGACTGAACTCATAGAAACCTTGTGTCCCAATAACTACTGATCTTGTTTATTCTTATTTTTTCACTTCCTTTATTGTGTTGAAATTGTGTGTTTATAAGATAACTAGACTGAGGGATACTGAGGGACAGGGAAGGACTTGGTCTGATTTACCTGCTTCTGTTCCTGACTCTCAGCAAGAGATTGGGAAGTGGATGCAAGGTGAACCCATGCCCAGTAGAGTTAGTCTTCATTATAGCGCAAATCCCATCCCTTCCCTGACGGCTTCTCTGATCACCAGTGCATAAGCTTCTGTGGCTGTTGATTCAATGACTGATTCCATGGTAAAAGTAACATTTATTGAATATTTGCTATGTGCCAGGCTCTAAGTTAAACCGTTAAGTTTTTAATTTAATTCTCACGAGTTATCTTATAAATAGGAAGTTGTATGACTGTCCAAGGCCACACAGTTGGTGTAATGGACTTGGGACTCACACATGAGGAGACTGACTCCATAGCCCATGTCACTCAACACTGTGAAAAACCGGCTCTCAAGGATGAATGGGGTGTGCACATGAGCAGCACCCAAAGCTAGTGGTTTCTCCCACCATTCTTTGTAGTGTGTGTGATAATGATTTAAGTGCCCAGGCAAAGCCAGAGTGAGAAGCAAATGTCCTCATCTGTTTATTTGCTTAGTTTAGGGTCGCCACCCTGCCAGTCTATACCTAACCAATAAGCTCAGTTCCTCAGCACATAATATTTAAATTATAGGCCCATCTCCCTTTTTGTTAGTCTTCGAAATCCAGAATGCTATTTGGATTTTTACTCTAACACTAAGTAAGATATTTGTAAAACAAAACAATTTTAAATTTATCTTTCTCCCAAATTATCCCACCACTTGCTACTCAGTCTTGAAAGTGTTCTATGTTGTTATCATTATATCAGAAATTGGTTTCTGAACATGTTAAAAGGCCCTGGGCCATTCGGCCTGAGTAACTAAAGAATATTCTTGTGGGTTCCACATGCTGGCATGTAGGTATGCTAAGTGCAGTGAAATTCTGCTCTAAGCATAAGTCTGGTACTCAAACTGATTTAAATGATTCATGTTAATTATCTAAAAGAATGTGACCATGAACATTGGCAGTGAAAGCTGTATCTTATTTTCTACTTTATCTTGAAAATGAATGAGGAAGAAATGTGTTTGGCAAAGATTGCTCAGTCCCCATATTTTTGACAAAGCTGCTTTCAGTTCAGAAGGATCATCTGTCCTGTCTCTCCCTTAAATACTTTGACAGCTAAGAGAGATGCTTAGATAGTGTGTTAATTGCAATCACTTGAAAATTTTTTTCTGATTCCTAATAATCAAATTACTTAATTTCAGAGAAAATAAACCTCAATATTGGACACAGCTAAAAGAAGTTAAGATGAAAGAGAAGGAACAGGAAAATAATGGAGGTTTTAGTGCCAGGGTCTCTCTAGTTTGACGTTAAAAGAACCTGGTTTAAATTTTACTCTGAAACTTACTAGTTGAATAACCTTGGGCAACATTCTGATCCTTGGTTGTTTTTAATAATAATGATAATAGTAATAACAAGTCTTATTTCAAGGGACAGTTATGATAATTAACTTATATTTGTGGTCTCATAAATAATGTATAATACAGATACAAACACAAACAAATCACTGGCAAATACTATGAATAATTTTCTTTTCCTGTGAGCCTGCATGATTGTACATTTTTGTTGCTTCATTTTTTTAAGGTTTTCAAATAGCTTACCATAAGAATCAAATGGTTTAATGCTGCTTTTGAAAGAAGTTTATGGAAAGTCAGTCAGACAACCGTATTAAAAGATCATCAGCAAAATTCTTTCCTCTCATCCTCCAGAGCATCTTCAGTGAAAAGGGAGGGTAAAGAGAAAGATTAGCTTTTATTTTTTGCCATATCCTGAAAAGAATATTTACTTCAGGCTGACTGACACTTTAACAAGTTACTTCTTCCAGTAAGAGGTATTTTATATGCCAACCATATATTTGAAACTTTAAAACATATTGTATAAATTGGCCAAAGTGAGACATAATTCCAAATATAAAGATAAAAGTATTGCAAGCCTTTTTCACCAGAGGACATAAATTGTAGAAATATCTGTAATTTAATTACTTTTTGTTCAGAAAATATAAAGATGAGTTTTGAGACAAACTATCCTATAGCATTAGCAAAGTTCTATACCAATTTATTATACTTAGATAACCTAATTTTAAGATCCTTCTTATATATCATTATCTAAAGTGGATGTTGATTTCTATAAGTAGCCCTAAATTAGTTTGATTCTACTTAAGTAATTTCAGGTGTTACAGACCATCAATATGTATTCTAAAAGAATAATAACATGTGTTGCATAACACCCTGTTATGACAAGAGAAAAGAAATCATTGCTCCATTGTTACTTGATACAACTGCCTTCACTGAGTTCTCTCCCAGTCCTATAACTTCACTAAATTTAATTTTCATCCCTTTGATGAGCTTATACCTTCTTCATCCATAAATGCTATTTTTGAAGCTGAATGTGTTTATTTCAATGGGAGTTTTCTTTATAGGGTTAATTTTAAACAATCTAGCCACTTGTTCTTTCTGTGAAAGAGAAAAAATGGCCTTCATTTTAAGATCAATGGAGAGTAATAGCAAGAAAAGCATTCCTCATTCAAGAAATTTCCTATTGGCCAATTGTTACTGATGTGGTTTTTTTAAATTAGTTGTTAATGTTATTTACTTACGAATGCATACCTTATCTCATTCCAGAAAGTATATAAGGCAGTTTTTTTTTTTAACATCTTTATTGGAGTATAATTGCTTTACAATGGTGTGTTAGTTTCTGCTTTACAACAAAATTAATCAGTTATATATATACATATGTTCCCATATCTCTTCCCTCTTGCATCTCCCTCCCTCCCACCCTCCCTATCCCACCCCTCCAGGCGGTCACAAAGCACCGAGCTGATCTCCCTGTGCTATGCGGCTGCTTCCCACTAGCTATCTACCTTACGTTTGGTAGTGTATATATGTCCATGCCTCTCTCTCGCTTTGTCACAGCTTACCCTTCCCCCTCCCCATATCCTCAAGTCCATTCTCTAGTAGGTCTGGGTCTTTATTCCTGTCTTACCCCTAGGCTCTTCTTTTTTTTTTTTTCCTTAAATTCCATATATATGTGTTAGCATATGGTATTTGTCTCTCTCTTTCTGACTTACTTCACTCTGTATGACAGACTCTAGGTCTATCCACCTCATTACAAATAGTTCAATTTCGTTTCTTTTTATGGCTGAGTAATATTCCATTGTATATATGTGCCACATCTTCTTTATCCATTCATCCGATGATGGGTTGTTTCCATCTCCGGGCTATTGTAAATAGAGCTGCAATGAACATTTTGGTACATGACTCTTTTTGAATTATGGTTTTCTCAGGGTATATGCCCAGTAGTGGGATTGCTGGGTCATATGGTAATTCTATTTGTAGTTTTTTAAGGAACCTCCATACTGTTCTCCACAGTGGCTGTATCAATTTACATTCCCACCAACAGTTTTTAAAGCATGTATGGTAATACTTCAAAAAAAATCTCCATGAGGAGATTAGGATGATAGGAAAATAAAGGTGTGGGAAATAATATGACACCAGGGAAGAATGAGGCAACAATTAAGAGCCATTTTTTTGAGCAAAATGATAAGCACACTTAGTTACAAGGTATATGGCCCAGAAAATAAACAAATTCCTTAAAAATTGCAACCTGTTCCTCCACATTCTCATGAAAGAGTATTGTGTGGCGTTGAAAATGCCCTCACGCCACCCTACAGCAAATACAATCAAGTGCTTCATGGGACCACAGGGTATAACATTCCTGGTATTTATTGAAGATGCAGGAACAGTGCAGGCTCACTTAAGTAGAGGTAATTATGTAAGACTAAATAATGTGATATAGGTGAGGAGAAGTCTAATTATCTGATTGGAGCCAAGGAGAATTTCCTGGAGGAATGGAAGTTCATATCTTTCAGCAGAACTTCCATAAATATTAATATAGTCACTGAGTACTTTTCTGGGCAAAATAAATTACTCATGGTCAGGACCAATGTTTTTTTAGACCTAAGAGGAATGGAAAATCAATAACCCAAAAACTATAGCATGAAAATGGAAACAAATACCTGCCTTGGTCAAAAACGCAGTCTCAACTTAAGCCACTCAAAGAATACAGAATTTTGAACTATTTAGTTTTTTGGTGAACCCTTTAAGGAAAATAGGGAAATGTTTCCCTGGATCCTAGACTCCCAAATATATCTATATATGTATATATATGTGTATATATGCATATATTCAGGTTATTACTCATAACTTAGATATATGTTGGCAAATACATATTCACAATTATTCTTTCAAGTATAGACTAAGTAGTTAGTCGAAGCCATTTTTTTCTTACAGTAATTAGATAACGGTCAGTTGTCTATAAATGTTACTTCTAGTTCACATTATTCACCCATAGAAGAATGCTTTTCTTTCTAAGAGTGCAGTATAGAATGCACCTGGCATTCAGCTCAACCAAAACCAGTTCAAGTTAAAAGGACAATTAGAAAGTGGTAAAAAATGGAGGGAGGATAATAT